CCTCCTCCTCCTCCTTCTCCTCCTCCTTCTCCTCCTCCTTCTCCTCCTTCTCCTCCTCCTCCTCCTCCTCCTCCTGCTCCTCCTCCTCCTCCTTCTCCTCCTCCTCCTCCTCCTCCTTCTCCTTCTCCTTCTCCTCCTCCCCCTTCTCCTCCTCCTTCTCCTCCTCCTTCTTCTCCTTCTCCTCCTCCTCCTCCTCCTTCTCTTCTCCTTCTCCTTCTCCTCTCCCCCTTCTCCTCCTCCTCCTCCTTCTCCTCCTCCTTCTCCTCCTCCTTCTCCTCCTTCTCCTCCTCCTCCTCCTTCTCCTGCTCCTCCTCCTCCTCCTTCTCCTCCTCCTTCTCCTCCTCCTTCTCCTCCTTCTCCTCCTCCTCCTCCTCCTCCTTCTCCTCCTTCTCCTCCTCCTCCTCCTCCTTCTCCTGCTCCTCCTCCTCCTCCTTCTCCTCCTCCTCCTCCTCCTCATCCTTCTCCTTCTCCTTCTCCTCCTCCTCCTCCTTCTCCTCCTCCTTCTCCTCCTCCTTCTTCTCCTTCTCCTCCTCCTCCTCCTCCTCCTTCTCCTTCTCCTTCTCCTCCTCCCCCTTCTCCTCCTCCTCCTCCTTCTCCTCCTCCTTCTCCTCCTCCTTCTCCTCCTCCTTCTCCTCCTCCTTCTCTTCCTCCTCCTCCTCCTTCACCTCCTCCTTCTCCTCCTCCTCCTCCTCTTCCTCCTTCTCTTCCTCCTCCTCCTCCTTCTCCTCCTCCTTCTCCTCCTCCTTCTCCTCCTCCTTCTCCTCTTCCTCCTTCTTTTCCTCCTGCTCCTCCTCCTCCTCTTCTTGCTCCTCCTCCTCCTTCTCTTCCTCCTCCTCCTCCTCCTCCTCCTCCTCCTCCTCCTCCTCCTCCTCCCAATCCTTGCTGAAATCTGGGAGCTGAGACCTCCTCCCCCTCCTCCTCTTCTTTCTTCCCGGAAGATCACATTTCAAAGACTTGGCTCCAGGGTCCCGGAGGAGGAGACATTTCTGGCTCATTGATCCCTTTAAGAGCATCACATACATTTGAAAAGGACAGAGAAAGGAACCCTGAAAGGAAAGGCGCCGGGAGGGGAGAAGACTCTCCCTGTTCCATTGTTTTCCACGGGGAGAAGGAGGCCTCTGATTTTCAGGGCGCCCTTGTGTTCAGGAAAGTGGCCTGTGGGAGTTTCAGGATCTCAGTTCCAGCCCGCAGGCCGAGTGCTTTTCTGTGAAGCTTTCTCTGCAGTGTGGACGCTGGACGGGAATCCAGACCCCAAAAGAGGGTTTTTGGATCTTTCACAAGAAAGAATTCGGGGTGAGTCTGTAAGGTGGAAGCAAGTTTATTAAGAAAGTACAGGGACGGCCGGGGGCGGCGGCTCAGGCCTGTCACCCCAGCATTTTGGGAGGCCGAGGCGGGTGGATCACGAGGTCAAGAGATCGAGACCATCATCCCAGCACTTTGGGAGGCCGAGGCGGGTGGATCACGAGGTCAAGAGATCGAGACCATCCCGGTCAACGTGGTGAAACCCCGTCTCTACTAAAAATACAAAAAATTAGCTGGGCACGGTGGTGCGTGCCTGTAATCCCAGCTACTGGGGAGACTGAGGCAGGAGAATTGCCTGAACCCAGGAGGCGGAGGCTGCAGTGAGCCGAGATCGCGCCATTGCACTCCAGCCTGGGTGACAAGAGCGAAACTCTGTCTCAAAAACAAAAAAAACAAGGCAGAGGGATCAAATAACTACTCCAGGCTCAGCCCCTGGCGGCCCACACCTTGACAGGGTGAGGTGGGTGGATCGCCTCAGGTCACGGGTTCGAGACCAGCCTGGCCAACATAATGAAACCCCCGTCTGTACTAAAAAATGCAGAAATTAGCCGGGCGTGCTGGCGGGTGCCTGTAATCCCAGCGCTTTGAGAGCCCGAGGCGGGCAGATCACAAGGTCAGGAGTTCGAGACCAGCCTGGCCAGCAGGGTGAAACCCTGTCTCTATTAAAAATACAAAAATCAGCTGGGTGTGGTGGTGGGCGCCTGTAATCCCACCTACTCGGGAGGCTGAGGCAGGAGAATCTCTTGAACCCAAGAGGTGGAGGCTGCAGTGAGGCGAGTTGGTGACAGAGCCAGACTCCGTCTCAAAATAAAAGAACCAAAACTCCTGCCCGCTCCGTGGACAGAGCAGCCCTGAGGACTGACTTCTGGTTGCCCATTTTTATGGTGATTTGTTGGTAATATTGTAAAGGAGGGGTGGATTATTCACGCCTCCCCTTTTTTACGCGGCACGCGGTGAGTTCCTGAGGAGGCCACGGTATCTGTAACCCGCGCTGCCTACGGTGGGGGGTGTCTCAACGGCGCCTGCGTTAGAATCAGTGTATAATGAGCAGTGGGGGAGAGCAGAGGTCACTTTCATCAAATTCTCAGTTTTGGTGGGTTGGCGCCGGCTTCTTTATGGCCAGCTGTGGTCTCTCTCTCTAGGGTGGGATGTATACAGCTGGCCTGTGGTCTCTCTCTCTAGAGTGGGATGTATACAGCTGTCCTGTGGTCTCTCTCTCTAGAGTGGGATGTGTACAGCTGTCCTGTGGTCTCTCTCTCTAAAGTGGGATGTATACAGCTGGCCTGTGGTCTCTGTGTGTCTAGAGTGGGATGTATACAGCTGGCCTGTGGTCTCTCTCTAGAGTGGGATGTATACAGCTGTCCTGTGGTCTCTCTCTCTAGAGTGGGATGTATACAGCTGTCCTGTGGTCTCTCTCTCTAGAGTGGGATGTATACAGCTGTCCTGTGGTCTCTCTCTCTAGAGTGGGATGTATACAGCTGTCCTGTGGTCTCTCTCTCTAGAGTGGGATGTATACAGCTGGCCTGTGGTCTGTATCTAGAGTGGGATGTATACAGCTGGCCTGTGGTCTGTGTGTCTAGAGTAGGATGTATACAGCTGGCCCGTGATCTCTCTGTCCACAGTGGGATGTATACAGCTGGCCTGTGGTCTGTGTGTCTAGAGTAGGATGTATACAGCTGGCCCGTGATCTCTCTGTCCACAGTGGGATGTATACAGCTGGCCTGTGGTCTGTGTGTCTAGAGTGGGATGTATACAGCTGGCCTGTGGTCTGTGTGTCTAGAGTAGGATGTATACAGCTGGCCTGTGATCTCTCTGTCCACAGTGGGATGTATACAGCTGGCCTGTGGTCTGTGTGTCTAGAGTAGGTTGTATACAGCTGGCCCGTGATCTCTCTGTCCACAGTGGGATGTATACAGCTGGCCTGTGGTCTGTCTCTCTAGAGTAGGTTGTATACAGCTGGCCTGTGGTCTGTGTGTCTAGAGTGGCATGTATACAGCTGTCCTGTGGTCTGTGTGTCTAGAGTGGGATGTATACAGCTGGCCTGTGGTCTGTGTGTCTAGAGTAGGATGTATACAGCTGGCCTGTGGTCTGTGTGTCTAGAGTGGGATGTATACAGCTGGCTCATGATCTCTCTGTCCACAGTGGGATGTATACAGCTGGCCTGTGGTCTGTGTGTCTAGAGTGGGATGTATACAGCTGGCTCAAGATCTCTCTGTCCACAGTGGGATGTATACAGCTGGCCTGTGGTCTCTGTGTGTAGAGTGGGATGTATACAGCTGGCCTGTGCTCTCCATGTGTAGAGTGGGATGTATACAGCTGGCCTGTGGTCTGTGTCTAGAGTGGGATGTATACAGCTGGCCTGTGGTGTCTGTGTCTAGAATGGGATGTATACAGGTGGCCTGTGGTGTCTGTGTATAGCGTGGGATGTATATAGCTGGCCTGTGGTCTGTGTCTCGAGTGGGATGTGTACAGCTGGCCTGTGGTCTCTGTGTGTAGAGTGCGATGTATACAGCTGGCCTGTGGTCCTTGTGTCTAGAATGGGATGTATACAGCTGGCCTGTGGTCCTTGTGTCTAGAATGGGATGTATACAGCTGGCCTGTGGTCTGTGTCTAGAGTGGGATGTATACAGCTAGCCTGTGGTGTCTGTGTCTGGAATGGGATGTATACAGCTGGCCTGTGGTGTCTGTGTGTAGCGTGGGATGTATACAGGTGGCCTGTGGTCTGTGTCTAGAGTGGGATGTATACAGCTGGCCTGTGGTGTCTGTCTCTAGAATGGGATGTATACAGCTGGCCTGTGGTGTCTGTGTGTAGCGTGGGATGTATACAGCTGGCCTGTGGTGTCTGTGTGTAGCGTGGGATGTATACAGGTGGCCTGTGTTCTCTGTGTGTAGTGTGGGATGTATACAGCTGGCCTGTGGTGTCTGTGTGTAGCGTGGGATGTATACAGGTGGCCTGTGTTCTCTGTCTCTAGAGTGGGATGTATACAGCTGGCCTGTGGTTTCTGTGTGTGGGGTGGGATGTATACAGCTGGCATGTGGTGTCTGTGTCTAGAATGGAATGTATACAGGTGGCCTGTGTTCTCTGTGTGTAGTGTGGGATGTATACAGCTGGCCTGTGGTCTGTGTCTAGAGTGGGATGTATACAGCTGGCCTGTGGTGTCTGTGTGTAGAATGGGATGTATACAGGTGGCCTGTGTTCTCTGTGTTTAGAGTGGGATGTATACAGCTGGCCTGTGGTCTGTGTCTAGAGTGGGATGTATACAGCTGGCCTGTGGTGTCTGTGTGTAGCGTGGGATGTATACAGCTGGCCTGTGGTATGTGTCTAGAATGGGATGTATACAGCTGGCCTGTGGTGTCTGTGTGTAGTGTGGGATGTATACAGCTGGCCTGTGGTATGTGTCTAGAGTGGGATGTATACAGCTGGCCTGTGGTCTGTGTCTAGAGTGGGATGTATACAGCTGGCCTGTGTTCTCTGTGTGTAGCGTGGGATGTATACAGCAGTCTCGCTCTGTCACCCAGGCCTGGCTCGACTCCTCGTAGAATGACGTGGCTGCAGGTTCCGTGGCCTCCGGAGACGCCACGGTGTATTTCTTCGCGTGTGAAGCAGGTGCAGGAACCAGCGAGCGTCGGGGGGGGGGAAAGGCTCTTCCGTGATAATTCCTGAAAAGTGCTTTTCAGCCGAGCCCCATATGTCATTGTCAAGTCAGAAGATTACGCTTAGCGTCTCTTTTGTGAATCAGGGACTGGGGGTGGGGGAGGGTGCAAATCTCCCTGGTAGGAATGGGCCCAAATGCAAACCTTTTTTTTTTTTTGGTTTGGTTGTTGCATTAGGTGATTCATGGACAAAACTTTCCGGAAATACCTTCTCAAATCATATCACGGTCGGGACCTCCATCTTCAAGCCGCGTTTTATCTCCAGGCCGGGAGCGGAAATGATCACGTTTAATCAGACACACCTGAGGTAGGTGTGGGTGGGAAGGGAGAAAAAGGCAACACTGAGGCTGAAAATACATGCTCTGTCACCCAGGCTGGAGCGCGGTGGTGAAATCTTGGTTCACTTGTATTTTTAGTAGAGGTGGGGTTTCGCCATGTTGGCCAGGCCGGCTTCGAACTCCTGACCTCAAGTGATCCACCCGCCTCGGCCTCCCAAAGCGCTGGGATTACAGGCCTGAGCCGTGGCGCATGGCCTGGTGTCATTTAAATAAATCCTGCAGCCTTATTTTCTTTTTCTGTAAAATTTGTCCTAATTAGCAGTCAAGTTACATTTTAATTATTATAGGTGGGTGTGTATAAGTGTTTTTGCAACTTATGTACGTATGTAAATGTATAAACACATGTACACACATGTATATGCACAAACAGATATACATGCGTGTACACATGTACACACATACACATATATACAAATACATACATTTAAACACAGATGTATACACATATATACACATATACACATGCATCTATACACATATGCACCTGTACAAATACATATCTACATATATAGAAACAAATATACACATACACACATATACAAAATAAATATAAACATACATATATACACACGTGTAGAAACACATATATACACATTCATACACACATATATCCACATACACACATATATACACATACATGCATATATACACATATGCATCTATACAAATACACATCTACATATATAGAAACAAATATACACAGACACACAAAATAAATATAAACATACATATATGCCCACATGTATAGAAACACATATACACATTCATACACGGATATATACAGATACACACATACATACACATACACACATGCACATATGCATCTATACAAATACATATCTACATATATAGAAACAAATATACACAAACACACACAAAATAAATATAAACATACATATATAAACGCATGTGTAGAAACACATATGTACACATTCATACACAGATGTACAGACATACACACATATATACACATACACTGATGCATCTGTACACACATGCATCTATACAAATACAGATCTACATATATAGAAACAAATATACACAGACACACAAAATAAATATAAACATACATATATACACACATGTGTAGAAACACATATATACACATTCATACACAGATATGTCCACATACACACATATATACACATACACACATGCATATATACACATATGCATCTATACAAATACACATCTACATATATAGAAGCAAATATACACAGACACACAAATATAAACATACATATATACACACATGTGTAGAAACACATATATACACATTCATGCACAGATATATACATGTACACACATGCATATATACACATGCATCTCTGCAAATATATATCTACATATACACAAAGAAATACACGAAATAAATATACATATATACACATGTACAGAATAAATATACACACATTTACACAAACATGCACATGCAAAAACATACACACGTATATACACATATGTATATACAGAAAGCATATACACACATTTTCCCGGTTTCCCAATACCAGGTGTGGCACACTGATGTGACTTCATAGAGTGGGATGTATACAGCCGGCCTGTGGTCTCTGTCTGTAGAGTGGGATGTACACAGCTGGCCTGTGGTCTGTATCTAGAGTGGGATGTACACAGCTGGCCTGTGGTCTGTATCTAGAGTGGGATGTACACAGCTGGCCTGTGGTCTGTATCTAGAGTGGGATGTATACAGCTGGCCTGTGGTCTGTGACTAGAGTGAGATGTATACAGCCGGCCTGTGGTCCCTGTGTGTCTAGTGTGGGATGTATACAGCTGGCCTGTGGTCTGTATCTAGAGTGGGATGTATACAGCTGGCCTGTGGTCTCTGTGTGTAGCGTGGGATGTATACAGCTGGTCTGTGGTCTGTATGTAGTGTGGGATGTATACAGCTGGCCTGTGGTCTGTATCTAGAGTGAGATGTATACAGCTGGCCTGTGGTCTGTATCTAGAGTGAGATGTATACAGCTGGCCTGTGGTCTGTGACTAGAGTGGGATGTATACAGCCGGCCTGTGGTCTCTGTGTGTCTAGAGTGGGATGTATACAGCTGGCCTGTGGTCTGTATCTAGAGTGGGATGTATACAGCTGGCCTGTGGTCTCTGTGTGTAGCGTGGGATGTATACAGCTGGCCTGTGCCCTCTGTGTGTAGAGTGGGATGTATACAGCTGGCCTGTGGTCTGTGTCCAGAGTGGGATGTATACAGCTGTCATGTCCTCTCTGTGTCTAGAGTGAGATATATACAGCTGGCCTGTGGTTTCTGTCTCTAGAGTGAGATGTATACAGCTGGCCTGTGCTCTCTGTGTCTAGAGTGGGATGTATACAGCTGGCCTGTGGTCTCTGTGTGTAGAGTGGGATGTATACAGCTGGCCTGTGGTCTGTGACTAGAGTGGGATGTATACAGCTGGCCTGTGGTCTCTGTGACTAGAGTGAGATGTATACAGCTGGCCTGTGGTCTCTGTCTCTAGAGTGGGATGTATACAGCTGGCCCGTGGTATGTGTGTACCGTGGGATGTATACAGCTGGCCTGTGCTCTCCATGTATAGAGTGGGATGTATACAGCCGGCCTGTGGTCTGTGTCTAGAGTGTGATGTATACAGCCGGCCTGTGGTCTGTGTGTAGAGTGGGATGTATACAGCTGGCCTGTGGTTTCTGTCTCTAGAGTGAGATGTATACAGCTGGCCCGTGGTATGTGTGTAGCGTGGGATGTATACAGCTGGCCTGTGGTTTCTGTCTCTAGAGTGAGATGTATACAGCTGGCCTGTGGTCTGTGTGTAGAGTGGGATGTATACAGCTGGCCTGTGGTCTCTGTCTCTAGAGTGGGATGTATACAGCTGGCCTGTGGTGTCTGTCTCTAGAGTGGGATGTATACACCTGGCCCGTGGTCTGTGTGTAGCGTGGGATGTATACAGCTGGGCTGTGGTCTCTGTCTCTAGAGTGGGATGTATACAGCTGGCCTGTTGTCTCTGTCTCTAGAGTGAGATGTATACAGCTGGCCCGTGGTATGTGTGTAGCGTGGGATGTATACAGCTGGCCTGTGGTCTCTGTCTCTAGAGTGAGAAGTATACAGCTGGCCCGTGGTCTGTGTGTAGCGTGGGTTGTATACAGGTGGCCTGTGGTTTCTGTCTCTAGAGTGAGATGTATACAGCTGGCCCGTGGTATGTGTGTAGTGTGGGATGTATACAGCTGGGCTGTTGTCTCTGTCTCTAGAGTGGGATGTATACAGCTGGCCCGTGGTATGTGTGTAGCGTGGGGTGTATACAGCTGGCTGGTGCTCTCTGTCAGGTGTGTATACAGCAGGCGTCTCACACTGACCTCAGCTCGCGGCATTTCTGGGCCTCCTGGTCTGCAGACAGCCTGGGTCCTCATTCCCTGGGGTTCACTCTGGGGCGTTTTCCCTCCTGGGCCGGGGTGACCTTGAACTTGCGGCCGCTTGTCGGGAAACATCAGTGAAGGTTTCCGTGGGAACCAGTCAGTTCCTGGAAGCTCCGCCCCTTCAATTTCTTTCTTTTTTTTTTTTTTTTTTATTTTGAAACCGAGTCTCATTCTTGTTTCCCAGGCTTGGCTTCCGTGGCGCCATCTCGGCTCACTGCATCCTCCACCTCCCGGGTTCAAGCTGTCCTCCTCCCTCAGCCTCCGCAGTGGCCGGGATTACAGGCCCGGCCAGTTCTGTATATTGAGTAGAGACGGGGTTTGTCCGTGTTGCCCGGGCTGGTGTCGAACTCGCGACCTCAGGACACACACACATTGATTGCGTCACTGTTCACAATAGCAAAGACTTGGAACCAACGCAAAGGCCCGTCAGTGATAGGCTGGATGAAGAAAATGTCTCCCATAGACACCACGGAATACTACGAGGCCATGAAAAAGGAAGAGTTGGTTTCCTTTGGAGGGACATGGATGAAGCTGGAAAGTGTCATTTTCAGTAAACGGACACAAGAACAGAAAATCAAACACCGTATGTTGTCACCCGTAAGTGGGCGTTGGACCACGAGAACACACGGACACGGGGAGGGGAACGTCGCACAATGGGGCCTCGGGGGTGGGGGATTGGGGAGGGAGACCAGGGGGTGGGGGGATTGGGGACGGAGACCAGGGGGTGGGGGATTGGGGAGGGAGACCAGGGGGTGGGGGACTGGGGAGGGAGACCAGGGGGTGGGGGAACTGGGGAGGGAGAGCAGGGGGTGGGGGGACTGGGGAGGTGAGAGCAGGGAGGGGGTGACTGGGGGGGAGACCAGGGGGTGCGGGGATTGGGGAGGGAGACCAGGGGGTGGGGGGATTCGGGAGGGAGACCAGGGGGTGCGGGGATTGGGGAGGGAGACAAGGGGGTGGGGGGATTGGGGAGGGAGAGCAGGGGGTGTGGGGATTGGGGAGGGAGACCAGGGGGTGGGGGGATTGGGGAGGGAGAGCAGGGGTGGGGGGATTGGGGAGGGAGAGCAGGGGGTGGGGTGATGGGGAGGGAGAGCCAGGGGTGTGGGATTGGGGAGAGAGACCAGGGGGTGGGGGGATTGGGGAGGGAGAGCAGGGGTGGGGGGATTGGGGAGGGAGACCAGGGGGTGGGGGCATTGGGGAGGGAGACCACTGGGTGGGGGGATTGGGGAGGGAGAGCATTAGGAGAAATACCTAAATGTAGGTGATGGGGGATGGATGCAGGAAACCACCCTGGCCCGTGTAGACACCTTGTCACCATCCTGCACGCGCTGCACAGGTGCCCCCAGAAATTAAAGTATAATAAATAAAATTAAAAAAAAAATTTTTTTTTTAAATAAATTAAGAAGAAAAAAACAATAATAAGTATATTTTCACGTCGTTCCCTCGTTCTCGAAAACGAGACTTCAGATTCCCGCGTGAGGTGGACTCTGGGTGTGTTCACAGCTGTTTCAGGAGGATATACACGGTTCCCTCACGCTTGTACCCCATGAGGCGTTCATTGTTGGGGTCGACTCCTCCAGGTAGAATTATTGGATTTCATCCACGCACTTGTAAAAGGCGCGATTCATCGTGTGAAACGACTTGGGGGTGGGGGGGGAAAAGTTCTAATTTATGGTCGTACCAGCCACGCTGGACGTCACCAGGGTCGTTGTGCTGTGATTAACGTGACGTTTCCTTGTAAAAGGAAAATGAGAAACTGTGCAAATGTCATCGTCTCCAAAAATTCCAAATTTTTTTTTTTTTTTTTTGTGGGGAACAGTTGGTTTTCATGATTATGAGTTACGTGTGTTTCTCTTCTGTAAATTAGTTGCCGTGAGCCGTTGTCAGGGCCCTGAACTTTGGAGGCCACGAAACTGGGTTTCAATCCAAACACAACACCACGATTTACTACCTCGGTTTCTCCGGAGAACTTAATTCATTCCTTCGACTGTGACTTTCTCAGTCTGTGGCAAACCACCTAGACTTTTTAACGACACGTAAACCAGGTAATATATGCACATTGAGTAACGTGGAATTTTAATGCACGGAAAGCGGTCCGTGAATAGCAGCCATTCTTGTTGATTTGTAAGAGCTCTTTATATGTTAAGGACACAGGCTCTTTGATCCTTGCCAAATTTCGTGACTATTCCTGAGCTTCTTTTATGCTGCTTGAAATGGTTTATGTTTTTTTTAAACATAAAGAGGTTTAAAATTGAATGTAGTCGAATGGACCTGTTTTTATTTCTGGAAAGTTCTTCTCAATGGAGACGTGTAACATTTATTTACATTTTAAGGTACATTTTGTGACTAATCAATATCTACTGTTTAAGCCACTGGGTCTGGGTCTGGCACTTACGGAAGCCAAAAAACAGGAACATAAATGAATTTTAATGATTTACATTTTTTAAAAAAATAATGATAGTTTAGGTTCTGGGGTCCACGTAGAGACTGTGCAGGTTTTTACACAGGTAACCACGTCCCATGGTGCTTTGCTGCATCCATGTCTCCGTCTTCTACATCAGGTATTTCTCCTAATTCTCTCCGTCCCCGAAGTCCCCACCTGACGACCTCTGACCGTTCACTGCTGGGGTAAAAACAGGGACCGGTTCATGCCAGTTAGAAGGGCTGTTTTTTTTTTGGGTTGGGGGGGGATGGAGTCTTGCTCTGTCGCCCAGGCCGCAGGGCAGTGGCACAATCTCTGCTCACCGCAGCCTCTGCCTCCTGGGTTCAAGCCATTCTCCCGCCTCGGCCTCGCAAACACCTGGGATCACAGGCACCCGCCACGGTGCCCAGGTTAAGTGTTTCCATTTTTAGTAGACGTGGGGTCTCACCATATTGGCCAGGCTGGTCTCAAACCCCTGATCTCGTGATCCACTGTTTTTGGGCCTCACCAAGTGCTTAAGTAGCAAAGTTCCTTTTTAAAGTTTTCTTGTTAAATCATAAGTGTGCTCGTAACTCCGTGAGGCCCCATCCTACGTGGCTCATAGACACGCCGAGCTCATCCTTGTTCATGGCTGCATAGTATTCCATAGTGATCCTACGTGGCTGTTAGACACGCCGAGCTCATCCTTGTTCATGGCTGCATAGTATTCCATAGTGATCCTACGTGGCTGTTAGACACGCCGAGCTCATCCTTGTTCATGGCTGCATAGTATTCCATAGTGATCCTACGTGGCTGTTAGACACGCCGAGCTCATCCTTGTTCATGGCTGCATAGTATTCCATAGTGATCCTACGTGGCTGTTAGACATGCCAAGCTCATCCTTGTTCATGGCTGCATAGTATTCCCTAGAAATCCTACGTGGCTGTTAGACACACCGAGCTCATCCTTGTTCATGGCTGCATAGTATTCCATAGTGATCCTACGTGGCTGTTAGACACGCCGTGCTCATCCTTTTTCATGGCTGCATAGTATTCCATAGTGATCCTACGTGGCTGTTAGACACGCCGAGCTCATCCTTGTTCATGGCTGTATAGTATTCCATAGTGATCCTACGTGGCTGTGAGACACGCCGAGCTCATCCTTGTTCATGGCTGCATAGTATTCCCTAGTAATCCTACGTGGTGTTAGACACGCCGAGCTCATCCTTGTTCATGGCTGCATAGTATTCCATAGTAATCCTACGTGGCTGTGAGACACGCCGAGCTCATCCTTGTTCATGGCTGCATAGTATTCCATAGTAATCCTACGTGGCTGTGAGACACGCCGAGCTCATCCTTGTTCATGGCTGCATAGTATTCCATAGTGATCCTACGTGGTGTTAGACACGCCGAGCTCATCCTTGTTCATGGCTGCATAGTATTCCATAGTAATCCTACGTGGCTGTTAGACACGCCGAGCTCATCCTTGTTCATGGCTGCATAGTATTCCATAGTAATCCTACGTGGCTGTTAGACACGCCGAGCTCATCCTTGTTCATGGCTGCATAGTATTCCATAGTAATCCTACGTGGCTGTTAGACACTCCGAGCTCATCCTTGTTCATGGTTGCATAGTATTGCACAGTAATCCTACGTGGTGTTAGACACGCCGAGCTCATCCTTGTTCATGGCTGCATAGTATTCCACAGTAATCCCACGTGGCTGTGAGACACGCCGAGCTCATCCTTGTTCATGGCTGCATAGTATTCCCTAGTAATCCTACGTGGTGTTAGACACGCCGAGCTCATCCTTGTTCATGGCTGCATAGTATTCCATAGTAATCCTACGTGGCTGTGAGACACGCCGAGCTCATCCTTGTTCATGGCTGCATAGTATTCCATAGTAATCCTACGTGGCTGTGAGACACGCCGAGCTCATCCTTGTTCATGGCTGCATAGTATTCCATAGTAATCCTACGTGGCTGTGAGACACGCCGAGCTCATCCTTGTTCATGGCTGCATAGTATTCCATAGTGATCCTACGTGGTGTTAGACACGCCGAGCTCATCCTTGTTCATGGCTGCATAGTATTCCATAGTGATCCTACGTGGCTGTTAGACACGCCGAGCTCATCCTTGTTCATGGCTGCATAGTATTCCATAGTAATCCTACGTGGCTGTTAGACACTCCGAGCTCATCCTTGTTCATGGTTGCATAGTATTCCATAGTAATCCCACGTGGCTGTTAGACACGCCGAGCTCATCCTTGTTCATGGCTGCATAGTATTCCATAGTGATCCTACGTGGTGTTAGACACGCCGAGCTCATCCTTGTTCATGGCTGCATAGTATTCCATAGTAATCCTACGTGGCTGTTAGACACGCCGAGCTCATCCTTGTTCATGGCTGCATAGTATTCCATAGTAATCCTACGTGGCTGTTAGACACTCCGAGCTCATCCTTGTTCATGGTTGCATAGTATTGCACAGTAATCCTACGTGGTGTTAGACACGCCGAGCTCATCCTTGTTCATGGCTGCATAGTATTCCACAGTAATCCTACGTGGCTGTTAGACACACGGAGCTCATCCTTTTTCATGGCTGCATAGTATTCCATAGTAATCCAATGTGGTGTTAGACACGCCGTGCTCATCCTTCTTCATGGCTGCATAGTATTCCATAGTAATCCCACGTGGCTGTTAGACACGCCGAGCTCATCCTTGTTCATGGCCGCATAGTATTCCATAGTGATCCTACGTGGCCGTTAGACACGCCGAGCTCACAGACACGTAGGACATTCCACGTCCTTGTCCTTTCACAGAGATATCAGAGCTGGACGTGCTCACAGGCGTGTCCCAGGTGTCCGTGGCTGTCACCTGATTAGAAAAGTTTCAAGTCGTCACCCAGTCGGGTTTGAGTTTAGATGGTGAGTCTGGTTCCCGCCCACGGGGCTCAGACAGGGCAGGAAGGACGACCCCACATGAGTCAGGGATACACGTGTGTGTTTTCCATGGTTCATTGTACTCTCGTGGCACGATGGCTACTGAGGGTCCCCTCCCTGCACCCCAGGAAGTAAAAACCGCGTTGCTGAGAGATGCTTTGTCTCAGGGCTGATGTTTCTTTGTGGCACCGAGAGCCTATTTCCAACCATATATATACATTTGTATATTATATATTATGTTGATATAATTATAAATATATAATTATATATATTTATAAGTTTATAAGAATATATTTATATATATATGGGTGTAATAATGGTTTCTACAAGTTAGAGTTTTTCTAGTATGTTGACAAATGACCCTGCGTCTAAATAAATATATTATATGTTATGTGTATTTATATATATACTTATATATTTAGATATATTTGTATATTTACATATATAAACAGATATATTTTAATGATATTATATTATAAATCCTTAATCATATATTAAATATTATATACACTTATAAATAATACATACTATTTATATATTTATATATTATATTATATTATATATAATTTATACATATTATGTTATACATAAATTATATAAATGTTATATATAAATTAGATATATATTATATGATATATATTTATTTTATATATTATGCCTAATATATATAATTTATATATTGATATAAATTATATATTTATATAAATAAATATAAATATTAATAAATATATATATATATAATTATATATAATTTATATAGATTATTTATATAAATATATATATTTATTTTATATATAGTATATGTAATATATATCACATTATGTATATTTAATATATCTAAATATATAGATATCTAAATATATGTGTTACATATATGATATATAAATATATATATTGCATATAATATGTATTATACATATTTAGAGGCAAGGTTATTTTTTAACATACCAGAAAAGCTCTAACTTGGAGAAAGTGCTTTTGCACTTGTGTTAATATATTAAATACGTGTGTGTGTGTGTGTGTGTGGGTATGTGTGTGTGTCTGTGTGTGTGTGTGTCTGTGTGTCTGTGAGTGTGTCTGTGTCTGTGTGTGTGTGTCTGTGTATGTGGTTGTGTCTGCGTGTCTGTGTCTGTGTCTGTGTGTGTGTCTGTGTGTATGTGTGTGTGTCTGTGTGTGTGTGTCTGTGAGTGTGTCTGTGTGTCTGTGAGTGTGTTTGTGTCTGTGTGTGTGTCTGTGTGTATGTGTCTGTGTGTGTGATTCTGTGTGTGTCTCTGTGTGTGTGTCTGTGTTTG